ATGGTTGGATGGGCAGTTGAATGGTTGGATGGATGGGCAGTTGGATGGATGGGCAGTTGGATGGTTGGATGGTTGGATGGTTGGACGGATGGATGGATGGGCAGTTGGATGGTTGGATGGATGGTTGGATGGTTGGATGAAAAGATGGATGAATGGAAGAATGGATGGATGGATGGATGGATGGATGGATGGATGGACGGACGGACGGACGGACGGACATGGAGCTGCTTCCCGCTGGTGACACCGCTGTCTCCCTGCTCTGTGCCCAGTTCCGCCATAAGAGCGACAACCAGGTGAACAACCGGCAGTCTCAGGTGCTGCTCGGCGGCGTGTGAGTGTCCCCGGGCCGGGGGCGGCGGGACGCACCGAGGGGACCCTCGCCATGCCGAGGGCCRGGGGGCAGCACCCGCCACCCCCCGTGATGCCGCTGCGCCCGCCCGCAGCCTCCGGCAGGAGCAGTGGATGAACGTCCGCGTCGGGGACATCATCAAGCTGGAGAACAACCAGTTCGTGGCGGTGGGTGGGCGCCCCGCAGAGGACGGCGCTTCGGGACAGGCGAAGAGGGGACGTGAGGGGGTCCCGCTCAGCCTTCGGCCTCTCCCCCGGCAGGCCGACCTCCTCCTCCTGTGCAGCAGCGAGCCCCACGGCTTGTGCTACGTCGAGACGGCRGAGCTGGACGGGTAGGACCCGCTGGGGACTGGGGGGGCTGCCAGGCTGGCCTGACCCACCACGGACCCCCTGCCCGCAGGGAGACCAACACGAAGGTGCGCCAGGCCATCCCCGTCACCTCGGAGCTGGGCGACACCGGCAAGCTGGCCCGCTTCGACGGTGAGGAGCCGCCACCGGCGCCGGAGCGGGAGGGCGACGCCGGCCTGCCCCGGGGCTCATGGGGCTGCGCGTGGAGCTGGGCGGCCACGGATGGAGCTGGGGACCTGGGGATGGAGCTGGGTGGCCAGGGATGGAGCTGGGTGGCCAGGGATGGAGCTGGGTGGCCAGGGATGGAGCTGGGAACCTGGGGATGGAGCTGGGGGACCTGGGGATGGAGCTGAGGGACCTGGGGATGGAGCTGGGCAGCTAGGGATGGAGCTGGGGACCTCACCATGGAGCTGGGGACCTGGGGGTGAAGCTGGGGATCTGACCATGGATCTGGGGACCTGGGGATGCAGCTGGGTGTGCAGGGATGGAGCTGAGGGACCTGACCATGGATGTGGGAACCTGGGGATGAAGCTGAGGACCTGGGGATGGAGCTGGGTGGCCAGGGATGCATCTCGGGGACCTGGCCATTGGGCTGGGCAGGGGGCTGCGTGGCCCAGGGTGGATCTCGGGGGCCTGGGGCTGGAGGCGGGTGGCGGGAGGCAGGTCCCAGCAGCTGGGTGCGCCGCGCGCAGGCGAGGTGGTGTGCGAGCCCCCCAACAACAAGCTGGACAAGTTTGGGGGGACGCTCTACTGGAAGGAGCACAAGTACCCGCTGAGCAACCAGAACATGCTGCTGCGGGGCTGCGTGCTGCGCAACACCGAGTGGTGCTTCGGCCTCGTCATCTTCGCAGGTGGGCGGGGGGCGGCGGCGGCGGCGCGGGGCGCCGGGCCCCCCCTGACCCGCGTGCCCCGGCCAGGCCCCGACACCAAGCTCATGCAGAACAGCGGCCGCACCAAGTTCAAGCGCACCAGCATCGACCGGCTCATGAACACGCTGGTGCTCTGGGTACGTCGCGGCCGGGGGGTGCGGAGGGGGTCCCCGTGTCCCCGCTGACGCCCCCGTGTCCCCGCTGCAGATCTTCGGCTTCCTGGTGTGCATGGGGGTCATCCTGGCCATCGGCAACGCCATCTGGGAGCACGAGGTGGGCGCCCGCTTCCAGGCGTACCTGCCCTGGCCCGAGGGCGTGCACAGTGCCTTCTTCTCCGGCTTCCTCTCCTTCTGGTCCTACATCATCATCCTCAACACGGTGGTGCCCATCTCGCTCTACGTGAGGTAGGGCACGGCCGCGGGGGTGGGACGACACCGGCGGCGTGGGGCCGGACGGGGGGCGCGCGGCTGCGTCCGTGTGTCCGTCTGCGCGCGCTCGGCTGCCGCCCCGGCCGCTTGCTGCTGCTCTGGCTCCGCTCCCGGCTCCGCACCGCTCCCTTCCCTCTCGCTTTTAATTTCTCTCTCTTTTCGTCCCCCAGCATGGCTTGTGTCACCCCTAGCGCCGAGGTAAGCGCGGCCCCGCTCCGCTGGCTCCTGTGCGGGTGGGTGGGCCGGGGCCGGGGCGCGCGGGGGGCCGGGGGGGCTCACGCGGAGCCCCCCGCAGCGTGGAGATCCTCCGCCTGGGCCACAGCTACTTCATCAACTGGGACAAGAAGATGTACTGCGCGGCGCGGCGCGCGGCGGCCGAGGCGCGCACCACCACGCTCAGCGAGGAGCTCGGCCAGGTCGAGTACGTCTTCTCCGACAAGACGGGCACCCTCACGCAGAACGTCATGGTGTTCAGCAAGTGCTCGGTGAACGGGCGCAGCTACGGTGAGCGCCCGCGGGGGCTCGCGCGGCCGCGGCGCCGCCGGCCCCGCTCAGCCCGCCTCCTGCTCCGCAGGGGACGCRCAGGACGTGCTGGGGCACAAGGGGGAGCTGGGGCAGGTAAGGGGGTGTCGGGGGGTGCCCCATGTGCCGGGGGCCTCCGCGCGCCCCGACGCCCCGTCTCGTCCCCCCTGCAGCGCCCGGAGCCCGTGGACTTCTCGTCCAACCCGCTGGCCGACCCCGGCTTCCAGTTCTGGGACGCGGGGCTGCTGGAGGCCGTGCGCCGGGGCCAGCCCCTCGTGCACGACTTCTTCCGCCTGCTGGCGCTCTGCCACACCGTCATGCCCGAGGAGAAGAGCCCAGGTGGGCACGGGGACGGCATGGGGACAGCGGGGACGGCGGGAACGGCACGGGGATGGCGGGGACAGTGTGGGCACAGTGGGGACGGCGCAGGGATGGTGGGGATGGTGAGGACAACGTGGGGATGCTGGGGACGGCATGGGGATGGTGGGGACGGCGAGGACGGCATGGGGACGGCGGGGACGGCATGGGGATGGCTGGGACAGCGGGGACAGCGGGGACAGCGCAGGGATGGTGGGGACAGCGAGGACGACGTGGGGATGCCGGGGACAGCATGGGGATGGTGGGGACTGCGAGCACGGCACGGGGACAGCGGGGATGGCATGAGGATGGCAGGGATGGCATGGGGACGGCGCGGGGACGGCATGGGGATGGCAGGGATGGCATGGGGACGGCACAGGGATGGTGGGGACGGCATGGGGATGGCAGGGATGGCATGGGGACGGCGGGGACGGCATGGGGATGGCAGGGATGGCATGGGGACGGCAGGGACGGCATGGGGATGGCAGGGATGGCATGGGGACGGCGGGGACGGCATGGGGATGGCAGGGATGGCATGGGGACGGCGCAGGGACGGCGGTGCCGCGGTGCCGCCCGCGTGCCGCCAGCCCCGCGCGCCGCCCCCCAGGCGAGCTCGTCTACAAGGCGCAGTCGCCGGACGAGGGGGCGCTGGTGACGGCCGCCAGGAACTTCGGCTTCGTGTTCCGCGCCCGCACGCCGCACACGGTGACGCTGCAGGAGCTGGGCCGCGCCGTCACCTACCAGCTCCTGGCCATCCTCGACTTCAACAACCTCCGCAAGCGCATGTCGGTCATCGGTGAGGCCGCGGGGCGCGGGGCCGCGGCGCCGGGCGGGGACGCCGCGGTGCCAGGCGGTCTGTGTCCCCCCGTGCAGTGCGCAGCCCCGAGGGCCGCATCCGCCTGTACTGCAAAGGGGCCGACACGATYGTGCTGGAGCGGCTGGGCGCCGGCGAGCGGGAGCTGAGCGCCGTCACCGCCGAGCACCTCAACGTGAGCGGGGACGCCAGGGGGGCGGCGGGGGGCACCCTTGGGACCCGTGGCCCACGCGGCGCCGCCCGCCGCAGGAGTACGCGGGCGAGGGGCTGCGCACGCTGCTGCTGGCCTACCGGGACCTGGAGGAGGGCTACTACGCCGAGTGGTCGGAGCGGCTGCGGCGGGCGCGCGGCGCCGGCGAGGCGCGCGACGAGCGCCTGGGCCGCCTCTACGACGAGGTGGAGCGCGACATGCGGGTGCGTGCGGGCGGCGCCGGGGGGGCCCCCGCGGCGGCACCCTGCCCAGCGGCCCCCCTGCCCGTCCCCAGCTGCTGGGAGCCACTGCCATCGAGGACAAGCTGCAGCAGGGGGTGCCCGAAACCATCGCCGTSCTCACGCTGGCCAACATCAAGATCTGGGTGCTCACGGGGGACAAGCAGGGTGAGCGGCGGGTGGGGGGGGTGCGTTTTACCGGGCCCCCCCCTTGCCCACGTAACACCGGCTTCTCCCCCACCAGAGACGGCTGTGAACATCGGCTACTCCTGCAAGATGCTCACGGACGACATGGCCGAGGTGTTCGTGGTGAGCGGGCGCACCGTGCTGGAGGTGCGCGAGGAGCTCAGGTGAGCACCCCSCACCACGCTGCACCCCCGCCGTGAGCTGGGCCGCAGCCCCCCGACCTTCCTCCTCCTCTTCCTCCCCAGACAAGCCCGGGAGAAGATGATGGYCGCCTCGCGCTCGGTGGGCAACGGCTTCTGCCAGGAGAAGGTGCCCTCCTCCAAGCTCCCGTCGGTGCTGGAAGCCGTCGCCGGCGAATACGCGCTGGTCATCAACGGGCACAGCCTGGTAGGGCAATGACAGGGCTGGGGACGTCCCGTGGCGGGGCTGGGGACGTCCTGTGGTGGGACCGGCCCCGCTGGCCGCGCTCTCCGTGCAGGCGCACGCGCTGGAGGCCGACATGGAGGTGGAGTTCCTGGAGACGGCGTGCGCCTGCAAGGCCGTCATCTGCTGCCGTGTGACGCCCCTGCAGAAGGCCCAGGTGGTGGAGCTGGTCAAGAAGTACAAGAAGGCCGTGACGTTGGCCATCGGCGACGGCGCCAACGACGTCAGCATGATCAAGAGTGAGCCTCGGCGCCCGTCCTTGCTCCGCGCCGGAGCTGTCCGTGCCCCCCGGCCTCGCTCCTCTGCGCCTGCAGGGCCGGGAATTGTCCCCGTCCCTTGTGCTGGTGGCCGCTCCCACAGACCTGGTGCCTCTCTCCCCTCTGCAGCCGCCCACATCGGCGTGGGCATCAGCGGGCAGGAGGGCATCCAGGCAGTGCTGGCCTCCGACTACTCCTTCTCGCAGTTCAAGTTCCTGCAGCGCCTCCTGCTCGTGCACGGCCGCTGGTCCTACCTGCGCATRTGCAAGTTCCTCTGCTACTTCTTCTACAAGAACTTCGCCTTCACCATGGTCCACTTCTGGTTCGGCTTCTTCTGCGGCTTCTCGGCGCAGGTGCGGGCTGCATCCCGGCCGGGGGGAGCTTCCCAAATCCGCCGGGATTTGGGGCCCCCCGCTGAGCGCTGCCCCCCTGCGCAGACCGTCTATGACCAGTACTTCATCACGCTCTACAACATCGTGTACACCTCGCTGCCCGTGCTGGCCATGGGCATCTTCGACCAGGTCCGGGATCTCCGAGACACCACGTTGCTCCCCGGGGAGCTCCCGTGCCYGCGATCCGCCCCGTCCAACCTCCCGTGTCCCGCCAGGACGTGCCGGAGCAGCGGAGCATGGAGTACCCCAAGCTCTACGAGCCGGGGCAGCTGAACCTGCTCTTCAACAAGCGCGAGTTCTTCATCTGCATCGCGCAGGGCATCTACACCTCGGTGCTCATGTTCTTCATCCCCTACGGCGTCTTCGCCGACGCCACGCGGGACGACGGCGCCCAGCTGGCCGACTACCAGTCCTTCGCCGTCACCGTGGCCACCTCGCTGGTCATCGTGGTCAGCGTGCAGGTAGGAACCGGGCGCCTGGGCGTCCCCTCTCAGCCCGTGCTATGGCTGCTCCCTGGAGCCCCTTCCTCCTCCTCTTCCTCACACAGATCGGGCTGGACACGGGTTTCTGGACGGCCATCAACCACTTCTTCATCTGGGGCAGCCTGGCCGCCTACTTCGCCATCCTCTTCGCCATGCACAGCGACGGCCTCTTCCACATGTTCCCCAACCAGTTCTGCTTCGTGGGTGAGCG